TTTTTCAGGAGTTTTTAAGAAAAATTATTCCCTTAGCAACTATCCTCCGAGGCAAATTTATGCATTTGGTAATACATCTGGAAACTATTCAACAAGAAGGCCTATGTGTGAATATTTCAAGAAACCAGGGTACACAAAAGATAAGTGCTATAAACTGCATGGTTATTCAACTTCTAATTTTAGTAATAATCATCAAAATTACAAGCTTAGCAAAGATCATCACCAACAACAACCTTACAAGTCTAATAAAGGGAAAGGAAAAGTGGCAAATGTACATGGACAACCTGTTGTTGATTTCTCTGATAAAGGGAAGGGTCTAGCCATCCAGAATGACGATCAGAATGTCAGCCTAACCAAAGAGGAATATGGACAAATGATGGATTTGCTTAGAAAATTTCAATGCAAAGATGATTCATGGAGCTGCAAATTTTGCATGTATTGTAGTCTGCACTTCTTCAATTGATTTTAGTAATCCGTCTTGTAAATGTTATGAATCAAAGGTTGACTAGTGGATTCTAGATTCAGGAGCTTCCAACCACATGACCTTTAATAAAGCCTCTTTGACCAATATAATAACACTACCATACCCAATGTTTATCAGTCTTCCAAATGGTTATAAGGTTAAGGTACAAGAATTTGGTGATGTAACACTTAGCCCTAAGATTATCATACATAAGGTGTTGTATGTTCCCTCTTTCAAATACAATCTGATTTCCGTTCACTCTTTAATTGTTCAACTCAATTCCATTTTGTTATTTACTAAGTCTTGCTGCATTTTGCAAACCCCTTCAATGAAGAGGCATCGGGAGATCGGTATTATCAAAGATGAACTGTATTACTTGTGTTCAAAGTGCTTGAAGAACAACATGGTCAATTCTAAGACAAATCCTATTTCCTCTTGTAATTGCATTTGTATTTCTAGTTTCAGTTTGCATTATGTTGTAGATTCTTGTAGTAAGAATGTTTCTCTTCAAGTTACATGTAATGAAAGTGTTTCCTTCCAGTCTGTTCTTCCTTGCACATCTAATGAAAATAATGTGGACTTGTTATGGAACAATAGGCTTGACATGCTCCTTTTGTTAAAATGCAGAGTATATCCTTTATCCCTGCACAATTTTCCACAAACAGCCCTTCATGTGCACTATATGTCCCATTCCTAGAAAAAATAGGCTTCCATTCCCTACAAGAACCACTGAAATTGCCAAAATATTTGAACTACTTCACATTGATCTTCGGGGGCCTTATCATACTCCAACACATGATAATTAAAAGTATTTCCTTACCATAGTGGATGACTTTAGCAGGTTTACTTGGACACATTTATTAAGCTGCAAAAGCAATGCCCTACAAGTTATCAAATATTCATTTCACTGATTGAAACCCAATTTAAAACTTCCATTCAATTTGTTAGGTCTGATAATGGCCTAGAATTTACTAACACTGAAGCCTCAAAATATTTTCAAACCAAAGGAATAATCCACCAGAAAACATGCCCTTATACACCCCAACAAAATGGAATTGTTGAGAGAAAACACAAATACCTTCTAGAGACTGCTAGAGCATTAATGTTTCAGTCACAAATACCTTTAAAGTATTGGGGGGAGTCCATCTTGACAACAACACACATCATAAATAGACTACCCACCACATCACTGAAAAACAAATGTCCATTTGAAGTCCTTCACAATAAGAAACCACAATATTCTGAATGAGAGCTTTTGGATGCCTATGTTATCCTACTGTACCTAAGTTCCATAGAGATAAATTTGAACCCAGAACCACACCACACATCTTCATTGGATATCCATCTGCAAAAAAAGGTTACAAGGTATTAAGCCTAGCCACAAAAAGACTACATGTTTCTAGAGATGTTGTGTTCCATGAGCATATATTTCCATTTAGTCTGTATCCAAAGGGATCTTCTTTTCCTATTGTTTCTAAATATGTGTCAAAGTCTGCACAATCTGTAGATCTATTCATTGATGATATGTTACATAGTGCTACACCTATCTATGATAATCAAAGGAACACTAGTGTTATAACCCAAAATTCTGGTCCTGCCACCAGTACACCAATTTCTTCCCACAATAATGTTGTAACTGAAACACAACCTACCCAACCTTAAAGGAGATCGATTAAAACTCACAAAGCACCTACCAAAAGCAGCAACTTGTTCCACACCATTATCTCTAAGTTCACTGTTTTGTAGACATAGTCACATTGCTCCTGATGTCCTAGCATTAACTAGTCAGCAATTGGTTAATAATGTTTGCAATGATAGTGAACCATCATCATTTGAAAAGGCTATTCTTAATCCTGCATGGTGAACAACCATGACACAAGAATATGAAGCATTACATGTCAACCACACATGGGATCTGGTTCCTATACCTGAAGGGAATAAAGCCATAGGATGCAAATGGGTTTACAAAGTAAAACACAAGGCTGATGGTAGCATTGAGAGGCTTAAAACCAGATTAGTTGTTAAAGGCTACACTCAAAGAGAAGGAGTAGATTTTACATAAACTTTCTCTCATGTTGTAAAGATGACTACTGTTAAATCATTGATTGCTAGTGATGTAAAGAGAGGCTGGGATATTTTCCAACTAGACGTGAACAATGCTTTTCTCCATGGATATTTGCATGAGGAAGTTTACATGGAAGCATCTCAGGGTATTGCTCTTGATAAACCAGGGTTGGTGTGTAGATTAAACAAGTCTCTTTATGGTTTGAAGCAAGCCAGCAGACAATGGTATGCAAAGTTGGCAGAAGCACTTCCAATAAAAGGTTATGTACACTCAGAAAAATGATTACTACGTCTTCAATAAGAAAATCAGTTCTTCTACCATATTCGTAGTTGTATATGTAGATGATGTGATCATTACTGGGACAGATTCTTTAGAAATAGATAACCTGAAGTCTTTTCTTCAAGAAACTTTTAAGATCAAAGATTTGGGGAGTTGAATTAATTCTTGGGCATGAAAATCTTGTATACTACTGGTGGTGTCCTTATTTCACAAAAATAGTTTGCATTGGACCTACTTAAATAATATAATTTGTTCGGTTACACCTGTTTGTCCTCTATACTTGATCCAAATGTCAAACTTAAAGCAAAGGAAGGTTCTCCTCTACTTGATCCTTCTTATTACAGAAACCTGATTGGGAAGTTGAACTTCCTCACAAATACCAGACTGGACATTGCCTACATTGTTCAACACCTTAGTCAATTCATGCAGGATCCAAGAGATCCTCACCTTCAAGCTGCAATTCACCTACTCAGATATCAGGAAAAGGATCCTACCCTTGGTATTTTTATGTCGAAAAATAGTGACTGCAGAGTTAAAGCTTATTGCGATACAGATTGCGTTGCATGCCCTGATTCCTGAAAATCAGTCATTGGTTATACTGTTCTTCTAGAAGACAGCCCCGAGAGTTGGAAATCAAAGAAGAAAGAAATTGTGTCCTGGTCGTCAGCAGAGGCCGAGTATAGATCACTTAGAAAAGTGGTGGGTGAATTAGTATGGCTAAGCAGACTGTTTGATGAACTTTATATTCCATTTCCTTCTTCCATTGATGTTTGTGACAGTCAGTATGCTATTCAAATTGCTACAAATCCAGTTTTCCGTGAATGAACTAAACATATCGAGGTTGACTGTCATTTTGTAAGGACCAAGCTGCAGGAAGGTCTCATTGCCTTGCATCATGTTACCACTGTGAATCAACTAGCAGACATTCTCACCAAAGCCCTTAGAGGAGTTTCTCATCTATGCATTCTCAACAAGTTGGCAGTACTTTCCTCCCTTCCAACTTGAGGGGGGGGTGTTGAAGTATTCAAGTACTTATAGCTTAGATTGGTTAATTATGTAATTTGTATAGTAATCAGCTCATTTGAGTTGTTAGTCGGTTAGAATATTATCAGCTTGTTAGGAGCAGTTACCTTCATATTACATGTATATATATATATACTCCACTTGTGGTAGATAATTCAATATAGTTTTCATTTTTTTTCAAATTGCATCTTCATTCTCCCAATAATGGAGTCGATTAATCCATTGAAGCTCAACATTGAGTTGGTCTGAATTTGATAAATTACACGAGTCGACAAACATTACTCATTTATTTTTCAACAATGTTACAATTTGAATTAGTCACCGTGTTTAGCTATAGCTTAATATAGTTTATTATTAATTATGAAACCACGAACAGAATGTATACGAAGAGGGGAAAAAAAGCATTTCCAAATTCACATGTCCATTTATACAAATCTAATTTTTTTCTCCCCTTTCTTCATTCTCTGATTCTCTACTAAAATCACTCATTTTTATTTATTTTGAAGTTGATGGCAGGCTAATACCTATTGCCATTAAGCAAAATCAAGTTACAAAGCAGTTTAATTTGCTTAATTTTTGCCTAATTTTAGTGTAAGGTTAGCATGTATGGAATGTTTACTGTCATCTAAAAGTTGCTCAGACTTTCTAAAAACTCCACTGTATTCATATCAAATTCTTCAAATATGCATAATATGTTTGAACTTTGAAGGATCAAATAACAAATGCGATAGACGTTTTCATATAAAATTCCATTTTAGTCTGTTTGAGAAAACATGATCTATTTCTTTTTTTGGGTAACATTTTAAATCAACTTTTCACGTGTCATGTTTAAAGTCATAAGATTAAATGACAGTTTCGTACATTTCACATAATTTTAATTTAAAATCACAAGATTAATAATCTTCTTTATTCTCTTAAACTTCGTGTCAAGACGGGGTTAATGGTTGAAGAATGGAAAAGAGGAAATACAAGAGAATATTTGTTACTAGACTATGGTTAAGTAAAAAGTGTGGAAAACACAATATTACATTTTTTAATCTGGTGTCAATTATTTACAAAGTAGACAAAACAACGTAAAGAGGATCATCAGTCAAATAGAGTAACCCTAAACTTCATTTCATTTTGCTTGTCACAACCAAATTTACTAAAAAGAAGCTTTTAGATGTCTCATTTTTATTTAATCTTCATTTTTAACATATGCTACAATTACTATGCGTAAAAGATTGAGATCATTGATATGTCCATAAACAAACTCCTTTTTAGTGTATGAATGAGTGTAACACAAACAAGCTCCTCAGTTGTCCCTTCAGTTCAACATATAGCTCTGGTCTATGACCAAAAGCATCAGAAATTGGAACGATATAAACATCTTGACAACTTCATCATCAGAGCTTCTTTTGTTTACTTTCCAACTGTAATATTAAACCCTCCAAACATAGGTAGGAACTTCTCCATTGGAAACATAAACAATAAACATAAACCCAAACTTCTATTTGGTTACAACAAGATTTAGTTGCCAAATGCACTGCCCTACAATTTCCAAATTAGTTGAAAATGATCCATCTAGAATTAGGAAATCAGTTTCTTCAATCTACCAATTCAAAATCTTGGATAATAGTTGATTGTAAAACTTCCAATGTACCTTGATTATGGAAGAACATTTGAGCGAAATATGAGGGGATAGGTGCAGCAATATCCACTGCTCCAACACACAGAAAGCAATGGTCCCTGCTTAAACTTGTCATGAAATGAAAAGGTTATTGGCTTGGTGTCATTTCCAGGACCCCTAATGAACCCAACCAAAGATGCTGAAATCAGTGGACTTCTTCTAACATCGTATATTGCTATAAGACCTCTGTACAAGTCATTCCCATCTCTATAAGACAAGGCTAGACGCTCTCCTGAAGAATCCCATGCTATCTTATCTATTCCTCGACTTCCTGTCAAGGACTGTATATCTGACAACTCAACAGGTATAAGATGTGCATCTAGAGACGGTGG